TCCATAACGATTGGGAAAACACTTGAAGAACAAGGATGGTGATTGGTGGGCACTGTGAGTGGGGGAGGGAGAGCAGCTGAAGGTTGTTTTCTTCTGTGTATTGGTCTAGAAATCAATTTCTGGGCTGGTTTCTTCAGACAAACTGGTAGGATCAATCCTTTGCCTTGCCGTGCTTTTTCCCCCATATAGAGAACTGAGCCTGGGGCCTGGATACGGAGCTATATCCCCAGCCCATTTTTTTATTTTGAGACAGAGTCTGAGTTCCTAAATTGCCCAGACTGCGCTCAAACTCATGATCCGCCTGCGTCAGCCTCCCAGAGAGCCGAGGTATTATGGCACCAGGCCTAGTCTCTTGGTCTTGATCTCCCTGCAGGTCCAAACAGAACCTTTACAGAGCCTGATGATCCTATCTCTGCATGTAAAGTATTTGGGTCAGAGGAATGGATATATGTAGTTAATTGCTGGGAAAGGATACTTTTTTTTTGGTCTGGGGGTTGAATCTAGGGCCTTCAAACTGGACTACATCCTTATCTCCAGCCCTTTTCAAAAAATGTGGGAGTTTTTGGTGGTGGTGGTGGTGTGTGTGTCTGCGTCTCTGTGTGTTTTGTTTTGTTTTGTTTTGAAACAGGATGTTGCTATGTAGCACAGGCTGGCCTCGCGGTCATCTTGTAGTTCAGGCTGGTTCTGAATTTACAGTGATCCTCTTGCCTCAGCCTTTTGAGCACTGGGATTACAACCATTCATCACCATATCTGGGTTAGGAATCACATGGAAGCAGGGTGAAGTCATGATTTTAACAACAATAACAGGCAATTCAGCTCAAACCACACCAAAGAGCAAAACAAAATGATAGATACTGCCTTGTGAAGTTAGCCTTAGCTTGCTTGCTTGTTCTCTCTCTGTCTCTGTCTCTGTCTCTGTCTCTGTCTCTCTGTCTCTGTCTCTTTCTGCTGCTTACCTATTCTTCCTGCCAGATTTTCCAGGCTATTCATGTGGCTGCTTCCAAGTGAGAATTCCAATAAACTGAAATGTCTCAATTCCTCCTAACACTGGAACAGATCATAAGGAATTATGGATGACAATAACCCTGGAGTGATAGATGGACATTTTAAATCAGAAACATTTATGCACAACCCAAATATTGAGGTTTGGGGCAAAATATGGCTCAGCAGACTAAATCCCCTGCTTAGGCAGACACAGGGGCCAAGGGTTTGATCTTCTGTGTGCTGTGCTGGCCCTGCTCCCAGGATACACATAGAGGGCGATTGAGACTGGGCGTGGTAGTGCGTGCCTGTAATCCCAGTGCTTGGGAGGCTGAAAACAGGAGGATCGCTATGAGTCCAACCTGTAGACCCTGCACTAAATACATTAAAAATACATATATATATACATATATATATATTTCTAAGTCCCTCTCCTAGTGTCCTTTAGTTCTTAGGAGGGAACCTATTAAAGTTAGGGCAAAGGAAAAGAGAAAGAATGCTTTTAGTTGAAAGATGAAAAAGCTGACAAAAATGAGTTCCAGTGTTCCTAGGGTTTACAAAATTGAGTTAATGCAATCAAAATCTGTATTTTTTTTAAAATCTGTATTTTGATTTTGTAAGAAGTCATAAAATTAATTTTGGGCCATCCATTGAGTGCTGAGATTAGACACAAAAGAGTAGTAAGATGATTTCCCAGGTTGGAATAATGGAAAGTGAGACTTTAAGAGGATTTTTTAAAAAAATGTATTTGGTACAGGGTCTCACTATGCAGCTCCAACTTGTAGTGATCCTTCTGTTTTCAGCCTCTCCAGTGCTGGGATTACAGGTGTGCACCATCATGCCCAGTCTCCATGGCTGGCTCAGCGTACCCCTGGGGCAGGTCCAGTGGGGCATGTGGTGGGAGGGATCGGACCTCAGTCCCTGTGCTTGCCTAAGCAGGTGCTTAGTCTGCTGAACTATCTTGCTGGCCGTTTAAGAGGGTTTTAGAAGTTACATAATCATAAAGACAAAAAACAGTAGAGCCACAGAGCACTTTATCAAGATGTTAGTCCGGCCAAAATTAAGTCTAATTTAATTTTAGGCTTAAAATTTCAAACCAGAAATTCGGTATGTGGCACACACCTGTAAACCCAGCACTCCAGGAAGCTGAGACAGAAGATTCATAAATTCCAGCTCAGGCTGGGAAATTTATACAAACCCTGTTTCAAAATAAATAAACCAGGTTTAGTGGCATATACCTGTAATCCCAGCACTGGGGAGGTTAAAGTAGGAGGATCACTATATATGTTCAAGGCCAGCCTGGGCTACATAGTATATTCAAGACTTGAACTATGTAGTGAGACTGTGTCTCAAAAACCAAATGAACGGGGCTGGTGAGATGGCTCAGTAGTCTGGAGCACCTACTTAGAACAAGCTAAGCTAAGCAAAACACAGGGACCGCGGTTCAATCCCCCAGCACCACATGCCAGCCAGCCCCGCCCCCTGGTGGGCTGAGCTGGCCACACACAAAATAAATAAATAAATATTAAAAACCAAAACAAAACAAATGAACAACAACAACAAAACCCTAGAACTAACTAACTAGATGGATAAGGCCTGAGGAATGTAGTTCAGTGTGAAGGTCCTGGGCTCAATATCCAGTAACACATGCACAGTCAACCAAAAATACAGGAAAAAATGATTTGCAGACATTAATGAATAGAATAGGTAGAAGACTGGAAGTAAAGAGAAGTTTTCAAAAAACAAAACACAACAAATCCCAAATTTACAAGTTTTAAGATGAAGGTATGGAAAATATAATGGCTTAAGTGAGACATTTCATCAAAGCAGTGAAGAATTTCAGTCAGATCGTAAAGCAATCCTTTGTAGAAAAAAATTTGAAACTGTATTACACATATGAGTGATCCAAAGGTATTTTTATAATTGTCTAATGCAATGCCACACAAAGGTGCTAAACGCGTCACTTTGATGATCTAGCCTTGCCATACAAATAAACTAAGTATGTATGCAGATTGTGTCAGAGATACAGCCGGCACTTCCATAACTGCCAAAGGAGTCAGTTTGGAGCGAGGACCTTTCCTGAATCTTGTGGGCTCCAGGTAATTTTTCAGTTAGACTTGGTTTGTTTTTCCTTATGATTGACAACTGAGTCTACTTAATTTTTACCAAAGCCAAAGCTGTTTGTTTGTTTGTAAAACTAAGTATTCATCTGTCCCCCTTATCACAACATGGAGTTTTCTGGCGACCTACTGAGAAATGCAAAACGAAGAGGGCAAGCCCAGTGTAGGTAAGGGTCTGGGGACGGGAATTCCAGGTGGAGTCGTGATTGAGCTGCACGTGCTTCCGAAGACCTAACCCTGTTGCAACAGCAGTTCCCCAATTTTGTCCACTCGCCGGCTCCCTCAGACCGTTTGTTATAAATGCTGATTTCTGGGTTTTGCCCTATACTTACAAACTCAGGATCCCGTTAGCTTGTACCTGGGAACTTGTATATTTTAAACAAACACGGCAGACAAAAAATAGGGTTTACAGGAGGCGGGTTTCCACACGGCTCGCCAAAGCCACGCCCCTCTCGCAGGCCCCGCCCCTCTCGCAGGCCCCTCCGACCTCGCCAAGGCTACGCCCCTCCAGCAGGCTCCGCCCCTCACGCCCACTCCCACGCCGACCTCGCCCAGGAACAGGACTCTTTAGCCAACTGGCACAGCATCTCGGGGCCTTTCCCATGATACTTCGCGCCTGGCTGTCGCAGTTGCCGGGCAACGAATGGTCCCGAGTGCTGGCCGCGCGGAGTTTTGCTGGGCCATGGGGCCTCCGGGCCTCCAGTCGCTCCTGCTAGTGCTTCTGGCCCGCTGGGCCTCCGTGAGTGCCCAAGCCGTGGCCACTCCCGCGGTGCCGACGGAGGACCTCAACTCCACCGAGGCGCCCCCTGCCACTCTCGGACCCTCCCTCACGCCTAGGATCCTAGGCACCTCGAGACCACCGGAGCCCTCTGGCCCCAGGCCTGCCCCGGTCACGGATGGTGGGTATCAAACACTAACTCCTGGGAGGTCCAGAATGATCCAAACTGGAGGGGTAGCCCGGGTGATGACTTAGAGTAACAATGATAATTTAAGCCAGTATGCTGACAGGGTGAATGGTCTGTAGGCGTGAATCCTCCCACCAGTGACCCTGATGATAGTATCCGTGTCGTACAGATGAAAGCCGAGGC